CCCCCTACAATATTTCAACAGAGTCCCATTGTGGCTACATTTCACCTACAACTACGACATTCGCCACACGTGTAGCAACTTGTGACGCACAAAAAAGTCCATTAGCATGTTTCTGTAAACCCAACAGGAAATCCGCCAAAAACGGCGAGCATGCCGGGCCATTTTTGCTCAAAAATGGCAATTTGCCCCAAACTTGACATGCCGGATCACAGTCCCGCCCGGAGCAGGTTTGCGCCACACCCCGCCGTGCGCAAAGGCCGACAAGCGTAGGGCGAGGACCCGTCCATTGCCGCTTGCGGCTTTAATTGTAACTTGGACTGTTTTATGTTCCTGTTATCAGGATGGGGCTGCGAGGTGCCACAGTGGCCGGTTCGCGTCCCGGTGAGGACACTCAGGATCTCTCTGTGTGGAGTCTCCATGTTCTCCCCATGCAGCGTGGGTTCTCTCTGGGTTCTCCGGCTTCCTGTAAAATCTACAATAGACTTTAAAAATTCTCTCCATAAGTACAAATCTCTTAATGAGCAGCTCCATCTTATCCTAAACACCTTATTGCACCGCATCATCCTAACAGAACCCTTTGCTCTCAGACTGAAGGCCTATTTGTGGTTCCGAGCTTCCAAATGCAGAACAGGAGGCAGATCCTTCACTTATCAGCTCCTCTGCTGTGGAACCAGCTCCCAGTTTGGGTTCAGGAGGCAGGCACACTCTCTACTTTGAAGATTTTCTTTTTGATAAAGCTAATCGAGCTGCTCAGGTGACCCTGAACCATCCATTACTTATGCTGCTATAGGCCCAGGCTGCTGAGGGACTTCCCATGATGTACTGAGTACCTCTACTCCCTTCTCCATACATTCATATGCCACAAAGTTCATGTTTTGTCCTCTGCAGGTATCTCTGCACATTTCTTTTAGAGTTAGTTTTTTATCTTTATTTGAGAGTGCAGTTGAGAGAGAGACAGGAAAGTGGGGGAGAAGAATTGGGGAAGGATCTGCGGAAAAGGGCCATGAGCGGGATTTGAACTCATGACCTCCCGATGTGGAGGTCAGGAGTTCGATTACAGCCCCAGTTGATGGGACGCCAGCTCCACCAGGTGAGCTATAGCAGCGCCCGAGCTGCACATTTCTGATCTGCCGTTTCTGGCCTCACCCACCTGCCCAGTGTTTATCGTCCTGTTATGTGTCGTCTGTTCCTCTCTGCTGTTCGTCTCTCCTTTACCTTCACCCCGAGGCAAATGGCCGCCCTCCCTGAGGCTGCCTCTGCCGGAGGTTTCTTCCTGTTGAAGGGCAGGTTGTTTTTTTCTGCTGCTGTTTTGGGTTTGTTTGGTTTCTCTCTATAACATAACATGTGAAGGGCCTTGACGTATGTTGTGAATTGGTGCTGTATAAATAAAACTGAACTGAATTAAAACGCGAGCTCTCACACGGCAACAGCACCGACCTGCTCTTGTTGACGGTGGTGTGATTTTCTCATGCTTTTCCCATAACGAGGCCCTAATTTTATACCCAAACTGAACCAGTTCTGCCCCACCAGACTTGTGGACTGAGCTCGTTGTGCGGCTGCAGTTTGTCTGAGGGTCAGTGCATTTCCCAGAACTCTAATTTCACCGAGGCCAACCACCAAACACACCCTGCTGTCCTCTCTGCAGCGAGTGCAACAGGAAAAGTCCAAACGTTTATTACAAAAGGATTCCTTTATTGGATTGTTCACATTTAGGTTAAAGGTACCTCAATTACAAACATTAAAAAATCAAGTGTCCCCTTCAGTGGATTACTCTTCAACATTGCACAATGCCCAGCTCTGGAAAAACACAGTCACCCATTGGTCAGGAGTCAAAACATGAGGGAAGCAGCAGAAATCCTAAAATCCACTCCAGGGTGGATCAGAAAGAGGTTTGCAGTTTTTGATTGGTTTTGTTAACAACCGATGTGACTTTTGGCTGCTGTGTCAGAAGCTCCTGTTACTGGTTGAGGTTTCACAGGCGGGAAAGGATTTTAAAGTTAGGAACTCACGCTGACAGTTTGACGAGGACGCGTCACGACTCATCGTCAGGACGAGAAGAAAAGTGAACGACTGTGTCCAGAACAGCTTTAGCTTCTACAAAGCTCTCGGACGAGTTCCTCTCTCTCTTCTGACCAGACAGCATTCACATTAGCACCACGGTACAGTTTACAAATTTCTCTTATAAAAGAATGAAGTCATCATCGCCCAGTTTGATGAGTCATGCCTCACACCTCCGACTGGAGCCCGTCACATATTAAATCACACGTTTGAACATTTCAAAACAATCTCCCACTGTGGGATCGACACATGATACAACTTCTCAGGAAGTTTCACCAGATGCTGCTCAGACACACATTTGCATCGTCATGGTTCGTTGAACAGCTGATTCAGCCCGTCAGCACGTAACATGACACACAGACTAAATAAGACAAAACAAAACACTGGCTTCATTTTACAGCGAGACGTTACAGTAGACACAGAAACAGAAGAAAACAGAAAAAAAATATATTAAGGGTAAGGCTTTTTTTCCCCTCAAAATGGCTTTAAAGTTATCTGGAGAAGCACATGAGACATGTGGAGATCTGTCCAGAACTCTTTCCTGTGTCCTCGCATCCATCTTCGCCTGAAGCACAAGACAAGTTTCTTCCCTTTCTCTGAGTTATTGTGTTGAAAAATCAGACGGCATCTGCTTAAATCAGGCCTCCAGGGTCTTTGTCTGCTTTCAGCGCCTTCATCCAGACGCTGAGCAGATCTCTCTGCTTACTTCAGCTAAAAACCCTCTTGGCTCTGTCTCTGCTCTGATAAAAATCTGCGCTGGACGGGGGTCTTGGCAGGACAACAGTGCCATTCAAGTATCAAAGCACAATCTGAGGCCAGAGTTCTGCAGCTGACATCATCAGCGCGCGGGATTGCTTTCGAGGAAAATCTTCCCATTGGGACGGACATGAGGTGGGTATGAAACGCCGTCTTTGATGGCGGAAAAGTGCTGCGGCACTCATGATAACAGCCCGCCGCGATATCGCCTCACACTGAACTGCAATGTCACATCAGCTCTGGGAGGGGGGCGAACAGCTCCAACTGCTAGATGGAGGTAATGGTCACAGAGATGTCGGGTGAAAACAACGACGGCTTCTTTGCTTTCGTTATTTGCAGACACTTTAAAGACGTCACTTTGCAGAGTCAAGTTGTTAAAGGGAAGGAGACACTGGAGGGAAAGACGGATCTAAACATAACGAACCAACATGTCAGGACAACACACAGAAAGCTGCCCGTCAAACCATTTAGTTCTGCTCTGGTGCTTCCTCTCTCCAGCAGCCACTGTGACAGGTGACCACCAAAGAAGAGCCGCCATGAGTGGGCAAAAAAATGTCAAGTTTTGGCTTCAGCGTGAGGCCAAAGGAACAAGTCTTGTCGTCTTAAATCAAAGCTTTGTCGGCTTTTCAGGTTCATCTCACTGCAGACGGCTACGAAAGGGGCGTTCCCGAATATTTCAATGTGCCGTAAATCCCATTAATGTGGCTTTTGTGGCTTTATAGGTCAAACAAACTTTGCATTCCATTGTAGAGATTCGGGGAAACTCAAGTTTAGTGGGTGGGGCAATTAGCACGAGCTCCTTGCAGCCTTCCAAAGAAAGCAGGTTTTTACATGAGTCATTTTAAATGTTTGTCTCGCTGAGAGTACACAGAAATGCGTCACCTGGACATTGTGCTAATTGCAGTGGCTTTTTACTCACGATGTTATCACACTCCTCCGCGACTCCACCGGCCTCACAACAGCTTTAGGGTGCTGCATGGGCTTAACTGTGTTTATTCCCGGCATGCCTGTGAAGTCTTGCGTCATCACACTCACAATGCTCTCATGGCTGCTCATATGATTTTGACTTCATTAAAAGGTAGGTAAGCCAGGTTGTAGCATAAGGTGTTCAGTCCCACAGGTTTGGGTGTTTTCTCCTCGTTGGGGACATGAAGTTCCATCTATATGATCATGTTTATCAAAGCTGCAGATTCATTGGTTGGAGTTCGTTATAGGTCCACAGAGTCCCAGCAGCCACGTTAATGGGAAATACACCAGTGTGAGATATACCAGCATGCTCTTGTAAACTTAGCCATGCTTTGATCTGAAGGCTACCATCAGCATGACAACATGCAAACAGTCCCGTTACACTGCTATGCTACGTAACGCTGTGCTCATGTGATGCTGGAGCCGCTTGTCAACAGCTCGTAACCGGGGTTTGTGTCGGCGTGTCATAAATATGACTGAAATGTGAAAGCTCTGATGAGTCCAACTTAAAATGAACCCTTTTTGGTAAATGAGGCAGGCACTAAAGTGGATTTATAGTCGTGTGATTCATACAACATCCAGGCACGTATGTACACAATCTATCTCTCACATTGGGTGGTCCGTATAAACATCTGGCGCCCTTTCAGTCAGCGCACAACAAAGACCTCTGCGTCCTCGCTGCTGCCTACTGTCAGGCCTCCACTGCCTCCTCCTGCACTGCATTTGGTTGTGCATGAACTTAATGTTTTTAATGTGTGTTTATGTGCTTTACATCTTGTATATCGCCGGCTGCGTTGGGGGGGCAGGGATTTGTGAGTTCAGGGAATGCCTGGGTTAGATTTCACGCAGAGCATCACATGAGCAGAGCCAAACTAAAATCCGTACGGCTGCAATGAACGGTTCAGTTTCCAGACTGGAAGTCCACAAACACATCTTCCTCATGTTAGCCAAAGCCCATTACGGAATATAATTAGAACTAAAACACCCAACCGTGCAATCATCTGGTCGGAGTTGTCCAGAAATATTAATACTCACAGCTGAACACATGGGATTTGAGGCCGTATGCCATAAACATAGGTTATTCTAGCAGCTAGAAAGCTATGTTAGCCTTAATCTTAAAGCACAGCTAAAGCGGAGTGATTTGCTCAGAGGTATCCTGTCATGGATCAAAGTCTTGGCCGGCATGATTGTTTAAATATGAGAAAAATATGAGTCCTAAAAGGGCCGTAAGTGAATGAGTTTCTTTTATCTGCTCCCTTTAGGTGACACTAAAGCCCTCAGTGAGCTCATATTGCTAAATTTCCTCTGCCAGACTCCCTCATCACAGGTGCCGTCCTGCTAATGCTGCCGCTAAATCCAGGTTAACCGTCCAGACTGCCTCGAACCGAAAAACTAGATCTTAAATGAAATGGGTAGCAAATAAAGAGTGGTTTGATCCTGTAATGCGAGGTGGTTCTTTTCATCCAAAGTTGTTTTGAAGAGAAGAAGTGAACCCAGAGAACATCTTTCCAGTCTGAGGTGGGCTCAGTGTTTAAAGCTGCACGATCAAAGAATATACAGACGAGTTCGATTTCCAGGCTCATTAAACTGACTCTGTGCCGTGATGTTGTTCCATGCGATCAAATCCTGGGTCAGTTCTTACATCATCACTGGCCAAAGTCGAAAGCTGTTCTGATGAGTAATTTCCGTCTCTGTCCTCCATCCTCCAGTCTGGTTCAGGTAGAGTGCGTCAAACATGTTGCGGAGTACATACAGTAAGACATTGCAGGGTGTCAGTCCGTAGCCTCACATCTCAGGGGAGGAGAGCCTCTCCCTCCTCGGCCCAGAGGAGGTTCAGGGCCTCGGCCTGCCGCTGCTCCCGCTGGTGGATCCTCCGCAGGCGCAGGATGTAGAGCAGGATGGCCAGCACCACCACCAGGATGCAGAGCGAGAACAGGTGGTGGTTGTAGACAAAAGAGGAGCGCAGCCAGCTGGGGTGGTTCTGCCGCAGTGTTTCCTGCTGCAGGTCCCTGGAGAAATACGCGGGGCAGAGGAAGACATGAACAGACAGGGCAGCACATGTTTCATCAAAAAAAAAAAAAAAGCCTTACCAATGAACGTAACAGCAGTATCAGCATTCTGTTTACCCGTTGAAAGCACAGTGGTGAGAGCTCAGAATAGGATTTCATAATTGGCACGCAGAAAGAGGATTTGTTTTGGAACTATTTCAAGAGAACAACCATGTATAATACACTGTGCCTTTAAAAGGGTACACATCCCATTTCCTGATTAAACATTAGCTGCATACTTTATTCTAACCTTGGGGTTTTATTTCAATATGAATGACTTCAAGACAGTTTTAGTAGATTGGCAGGAACAAATCCAAACTGTCAGAGGTTACTCAGTACAGGTACTGGCAGGGGCCACAGAATGAAATCATCAACTAATGTGTTCACAGCATCAAACGTGATAGATTTAACAGTGAGGTTATCAGAGATGCTTGGTTACCTGAGAGGCAGGAAGCGGGTCTTGAACAGGATCGCCCCCAGAGTCCACTGAACCTCTTTGTCGTAAACCAACTGGGCCGTTTTCAAGCTCGGGTAGTCGGAGGGGAAACGGAAACCAGAGTGCAACACTTCAAACATCCAGGCTGACTTGAAGCACTGATATCTGGAGTAACAAGAGCAAAAACAAAAAAAAAGGGTCAAAGAGGGACCAATTATGACATCTACATAAATAACCAGCAAACTTTTAGCTGCAAAACAGCAACTAGCAGTTACAAGTCAACCTGCACCGAGTGAGGGCCAGACTAAAAGCAGGAGTTCAGCTTTGTAGTGGCCATGGAGACGTGTAAATGTGCGCCATCTACAGGCACAGAAAAGGAATTGCATTTCAGAATTTTAGCAGTTGCCACAAGCAGTGTGTACTTTTTTGTAAAGCTGCAGTTTGTGCATGAGTGTATTTAAAACTTTATTTTACATTTTATTAAATTTTGTTTTGGTGCAGGATAATATTCAACTGTATACGAGGGTGTAACTGGAGTAAAAAAAAAAAGAACCAGGAACAAGACAACGGTTTGCATGTCTTCTTTGGTCTTGTATGCAGACTGTAACCCACAAAAATGCATCGGCGTGTCTGTGCCTTCTAATGATCATGTGTGACCAAATTCATTCGGCGTTCTTCATTAGTAAGAGGGTCTGTTGTGCAAGAGATATTCTGCAGTGAAAGTCTCTGCCAAGACTTGTGGTGCATGATTTTATATTAACTAAGTTGTTGCGTGCAGAGTGGAGGATTTGTGTGTGTGTGTCTCCCTCTCCACATCTCTCCTGCAGGTGATTATTAGAAGATTGGCTGCCACCTGTGGGTTTCCTGCTTCTGCCACCTGTGACCTCCTGAGGAGCAGGTGATTGGCTTGTGCTCTGGCCAGTTGTCCAATCGGGGTGGAGGATTCTCCTTTATAAGCCCTCTGCTTCTTGTTTGCGGTCATATTGCATGCTGCTGTCAGCTTTGAAGGTTTGTGGTAGGAAGGTTTTCTGCTGAGGTAAAACTGTGTACCCTGTACATGTGAACACATAGTTCACTTTTTGTTACTGCACTCGGTTATGGGTTGATGCCACTATTAGACAAGACAGCCAGGCCTTTTGTTTTCCTTTTCTTCTTTCCTGTTTTGTTGTATTTTATTTCTCTGATTTAGCACAACCCCACAGCTGACCCTTCCCCCACACTTTTTTGAAACCTTCATTTAGTTGTTCATTTGATTTATTCAACACTTGTAAATAAATGCCTTTTTCTTCACTGCCATCCATTCTGCTTGTGAGTTCTTCCGTAATTGACAGAATTTCGTTACTGTTTGCATCTTGTAAGCAGGAACGTAACATCAGTGGAAAAAACAAACTATTTTACAGTGTTATATCCATGAAACTACTGCAAATTCCGGACTACTGAGGCACCTGAATATAAGCCGCACCCACTAACTTTAAAAAGAAAAGTTTTGTACATATACAGGCCGCACTTGTCTACAAGCTGCAGGTGTCCACATTGTAGCATGAGATAGTCACACAGAAAGATTTTTTTAAACTTTAATTAAATACGTACCGGTAACATGCACAAATACCGTAAATGTTTTTTCCGAACAGCGACTGTAACACGGCTGGTTAAGAAAATAAAAAACACAGCAGCCCACCAGGAAAAGTCATTGATCGCTATCTTCCTCCTGCACTAAAACCACTAAAGTCGTCGTCTTCAGGGTCGGAGTTGAACAGAATCACTTCGTCACACACTTCCTCAGTGTCTCTGTCATCGTCGCTCTCAATGTCACTTTTGTCTCGAGGCAAATTCGTAAAACTCGTAAAAACCCATAAATTAGCCGCATCATTTGCTTAAGCTGCAGTGTTCAAAGCGTGTGGGGAAAAAAGTAGCGCCTTATAGTCCGGACTTTACGGTAAATAAATAAACAAGTCTTTCCCATCAGTTGGAGGTTTGGGTGAAACACTAACTGGTATATTTACAATCTAAGTTGTGTTAACCCTACACAACAGCTCTAGAAAAAAAAGCATTGTTGCTACTGTTGCTTTCTTTTTCTGCAGGTGACACACGTTGGCAGGTGGCGTCGATGACTAAACAGCGCCTCCTAATGGAGAACCTGCGTCGTGCTCAATGAAAACTGGAGAATTTGTGACTGAACGTTTTACATCTAAAAACTTGTAATTTGCTTCGACCACTACAACTAAAGGGGAGCATGTAGTGACCGTGGAAAGGCGCTCTAAAAGGAACAGCTCAACTTTTAATATAAGATTTATCACTGATGTTACCTGACAGAACAACACCTAGTGTATATCAAGGTCATGAAGGCCTATGCATGTGTTGTTATACACAGAGTGTAGACAGCGGATGCCACTGTTGAGGTGTGTGTGTGTCTTGCTGGAAATAAGCAGAAGAGTAACTGAGGATAGGATATGAAGTCCTAACCAGCTTGTCTAAACAGAAGGGTGCCTCTTACAGGAACCCAAACTCAACATAAAGTCCTGCCTCATGAATACATTATGTGTAGCAGAGACCCTGGAACAAGATGAAAAGAGCTGAAACGGTGAGCTTACTTTAGTCTGCTGATGTCAGCCTGCTGAGAGAAAAGCTGGTTGTCCAGACGCTGTTTCAGTGTCGACCACTTGGTGGAGCAGTAGTCCTGTTGAACACACCAAAACAAACAACTAAACTTTCTATCAACAAACGAAAACAAGTCAAATCTGATATTGCGTGCTATTGTGGGAAGACTGCTGGTGTGTGTGTGTGTGTGTTGGTACCGTAGCAGCTTGGGAGTATCTCTCACTGTTGTACTGTCCTCCTATCCTCAGCACGTCCTCCATGCAGTAATAAAACTCTGAGAAACCGTAGAACTCACTGTTGCTGAAGTTGATGGGAGCCTGAAAAAAAAACAGAGCAATAAAAATGTTTGTTTGACTTTGTTGATTTGTGACAAAATGAAACTCAGAATGTTCAGTCAGCAGGGGCTTTAGTGTGAGTTCAGGACGACAGCTCTCATTGTGAAAATGAAAAATCTACTGAAGGACATGCAGGACAGTGACCGTGTTTCTTACCACTTTTCTATTTATCATGTCACTGGATCACTTGTATACTAAAAGTTTGCTGTTTTTAGGGAACAATCTATGTTTCTTAGACTTTCTTTGCACCATCAGGCAGCTCAGGGAAATTACTTGCACTCATACTTCCATGCATCCATCCATTAGCTACACACTGCTTTAGCCTCTGTAGGATCACGGGGAGCGGGAGTTAAACCCAGCTGACTTAGAGGGAAGGCCGGTTACATCCTGGACAGGTCAGGAGTGTATCACACAGACAGACAATCAGGCACACTCACATTCACACCGACAGAAAATTTAGAATCAGCAGTTAACCTCAGCATGTCTTAGGACTGTGGGAGGAAGCCGGAGAGAACCCGCCCTGCACGGGGAGAACATACAAACTCCACACAAAAACATCCCGGGCTGAGAGTTGAACCCAGACAGTGCTGGCCTCTTAACCACCGCGCCATCTGCACCAACACCTCATTTACTGTAAAAGCTTAGTACCTGGTAGACGCCCCCTGGTGACATGGTGCCGTTGTGGAGGCCCAGGAAGGGTCGCACAGCCTCCTGACATCGAGTCCAGTCACCCTGACCCCTCAGGTACAGCGTGTGGTTGTCTCGGACGACTGTGTCTGACAGACCGACTGGCAGACAGGGGTCCAGGTATGGCTTGTCCTCACTCATGCCTGTCTGCGTGGTCAGAAACCTGGACAAGAACATGAAAAACTATTCAAACCTACCCTGCTCACCGAGCTTAATGAAACCAGAACAACCAAACCTGGGAGGAAGAGACTTACAGATTGTTAAAGAAAATCCCTGAGCCAGAATTAAATATGTCAGACTTGATCAGTTACGGCATGTTTACAAGACTGAATCACATTAACATAATTGTCATAAACAACAGACTGCGAGCGCTGACCTGACCAGCATGTAAACTATATTTTACATAATGTGCCACCTGGTTGGATTTCTATGAAAACATGCCTTTGTCTGGCACAAACCGAGACAAGGTCGCTTTATTTTTTCTTTTTTAAACAAGGAAAACAAAGCTGAACATTTCAATAGCTGGTGATGGAAGCTACAAAATGCTGACTGAATATGTCTGCGAGTGTCAGACCTGTTCTTGGCATGCGTGTTGTTCACTAGCTGGTCCTCGTAGCGCTGCCTGGCCATGTTTCCTCCAAAGCCGAGGAACGTGGTGACGTAGACTCGGTACACGTGTTGCGTGTGCTCAACGTCACAGCCAAGATTAAACTCTGCGAGAACACTCTTCCCTGCCTCCTCCTAAACAAAAACACACCCAGACATTACACTTCTGAGACCATCTCGCTCATACACAGGCTGAACATGCCGATCGTAAGAATTTTCCTCCAGTGTCTGACAGCTCAGTGTGCTTGCTTACTTCTTGAGGCGAGTTAAAGGTGATGGCACTGGGCACCTCATAGGCGATCTGCAGTGAAGCTCCACCCATATCCATGATGCCGACTGTGCGACGTCGGCTGATTGGCTGCTGGTTTTGAGACCCTGTTGTCACCTCGACTGTGGCGTCCTCTGAAACACAGATGAAACAATTCCACACTTTTCTTAAATATTGAGGAAGCATAACAATAAATACACAAAAGAGAGGTGTTAATCTTTTATTTCTCACTTGTTTAAAAAGAGTTTTAAACATCTGATGCATTTTGAAATGCGACATAAAGCAATCTGTACCTTGTTAACGTCAAAACTCAGACTCACCCACATCAGCGTGATCAAAACGGCCCAAGACAAAGTTAATGCCAATCCATGCATACACTCCTTCAGTGTCGGGAGGCAACAGGAACACGTCGTTAGAACCACGATGAGGAGACACAAAAAAGGCAGGCAGCAGTTAAAAACGCCACATTTAAGAATCATTCACCACATTGCGAGACTTCCATAACTCAGTAGGTCCACACGAAAACCAGGATCAGACACAAATAATGAAAACCCAGTAAAGTAAGCATGTCGCCTCACCTTCCTGTTTCCCAGAGATGACCTCTGCGTGTGAACGGGAAAACAGGAAATCAAACTCCAGGGGAACATCAGTGACCAGGTCGTCCAAGATGGCTGCCTGATGGCTACATACAGAGAGAGACTTTAGGCATATAAACGGCACAGATGCAGAGAATTAAAGAACAGATACAAGAGCTTCACATCGACTGCCAGGTTTTTTTTATTTAGTTTTTGCTAACAAGTCTAAAAATGCAGCATGTTTGTGATGATGTTAAATTTAAGCGTTCTGTAAATTCTGTAAACAACAAAGCAGACACACTTCAGAGAACGACACATCAGGACAAAAACAAAGAGGCGAGACTGAAAGTTTTCAAGCTAACAAAATAACAACATATAGTTCAGTGACTTGGGAAAAAAATGTTCCTGAAATCTTGAAATTAAAATAAACTGTACATTAAAAGATCACTATGTGAAAAGCTGTCGCACACAACACTATCACATGCTGTTCCATCTACCTCTCGGGCAGCAGCCGCATGCCAGCGGTGCAGAGGATGTAGAGCGGCGTCTCTTTGTGTTTGTTCTTTGGGACGTGAGCGGCAGCAAAGCTGAGCAGTGGATGGAGGTAGTCACTGGCCTGCGTTGGTGTGCTTGCCAGTGTGGAGATACCTGAGAGGACACACACAGATTTTAGACAATAAACAGACTAGAACTCACTTTTCCTCTCAGAAAAAAGCTTGTTAAACAGCTCAAAGCTAGATATAAATATATACAAAGTGAATTACAACAGCCACATTGTAATGAAAAATCTCTTTGGTGCCGTCAAATTCGGATGAGAATGAACAGGCATCCACAAAGGGCATTAGCTTCAATGCAGCTTCATGCAAAGAGACAGTTCTTATCTTGTCTTTATTCATGTTTGCTCAAAAACACAGAAAATCTATCAGTTAATAATGATAATACCAGTGGAACCACTTTATCAGTTAGTTGAAATAAAGTGGCAACAATTTGTTTTTAATTATTCATTTACATTTCAGATTATTGAATTCCCAAAACTAATGATCATTAAGGATCAGTTTGGCGATTATTAGATCCGATGCTCAACATCTTTATGATTATCTGTCATTGTTGTTTTTATATCCGACTTCTCAAAAAATAAATTCATTTAACAATGTGCAACTTTAACAGTGATGCACTCAGGCGTCTATGTGCAGTCATAAGCGATGTCCCACCGACAGCACTACCGGATTGACAACAACCTATGAGCCCTGAAAGATAAATGGTGAACAGTTCTTTTTTCATTTAACACACCAAAGACATAAATGAACACGAACATTTCAACACAGTTCTATGCTGGAATTTGTGTTATTCTAAATTTCAAAACCAGGATTTTCAATTTACTGCCAATATATATCGGTTCAAGGTATTGGCTAGCGGTGTCCTTGATGACCGCTATTGTAATATGTCACTAATCCATCCATCCATCCATCATCTATACACTGCTTAATCCTCACTAGGGTCGTGGGGGGCTGGAGTCTATCCCAGCTGACTCAGGGTGAAGGCAGGTTCACCTGGACAGGTAACCAGTCTATCACAGGGCTACACTTAGAGACAGACAACCAAGCACACTCACATTCACACCTACGGACAATTTACAATCACCAATTAACGTCGGCATGTTTCTGGACTGTGGGAGGAAGCTGGAGAACCCGGAGAGAACCCAGAGAACATGGAGACTCCACGCAGAAAGATCCCGGGTGTCCTCACCGGGACGCAAACCGGCGACCTTCTAGCTGTGAGGCAACAGTGCTAACCACTGAGACACCTTGCAGCCCAATATGTCACTAATCAGCATGGTCATCATGCAACCCACGCTGTCAGTCACAAAGCTGACAAACCGTAAAAGTCCCAGGGTTCAAAACGTCACGTAGCCTTTAACCGCTGCTACTGGAACTAAAGCTGCGTATCTAATCTGTGACTGAGATAAAGCAAAGTCATGGAAACTGCATGGTCCTCCACAAATGACAAAACTTTACATGTCATCAGAAAAAAAGTATGATTAACAAAAAACATCTCAGTGCAAGATAAAAGAAGCAAGTTTGTCATACGAGGAAAACACGTCACAGACAAATCGGTAAAATAAAACTTCTACTAAAGTTGTTCTTCTTTCTCCTTTCCGTGTGTGTGTGCTCTCCTTATCTCTTTCACACACTCTTTGCCTTTCTTGGCGGTGAGCCAAAGGGACAGACCGTGAACAGTAATGGTCCTCCCGCTGGCACCGAAACGTTCAACAACACTGAACAAGTTGTGACTAACTGGCTACGTATCAATGGCACCATTGTAGTCGCTGTAGTCGAGCCACACAATAAAAAAAGAATTTAAAAAGTTTCATCAAATCTCTCTTTCGCCACCAATTTTGCACATGTAGTCACGGTACAAGTCTGGTTATTAAATTACTATTAAAATCAAATAAATAGAATCACCGAGAATCTTCTGCTTTTGGCTAAAACTGATCCATATTCTCATACAAATAATGAGTCTGCAAAACACAAAGGAGCTACAGTTGTCCGTGGAAAACAGAAGCAACATTCATGCATGAATATCCAGATTTAAGCCGCACTTCTCAGCCTGTTGCTTTGCTTGTGCGCACTGCTGGACCAGTTTTAAATCAAGATTAATGCGTAAAACCTTAAAGAACCTGATAAGACAAACGATCGTCTTATCAGCAAAACTTAGAATGATGGCATAACAAAAAACAAACAAAACTCGGCTACAACCGAGCGCCGCTTCCTCACCAGGTTTGATCTTTTTGACGACAGGTTTACGGTCGCGGTCCCTCATCTGCCTGATGTCCAGCAGGGTGTGGGGGTTCCCGTTGTGGGGGGGCCAGTAGTACACAAAGACCCTGGAGCCGCTGCTGCCACAATCCACCACGATCCCATAGTTCAGCGCAGGGTTGTGAATGTCAGTAGCTTCCATGGACTCAGCAACTGAGAGGTATCTGGGGGAGAACGAACGGACACATGAAGAGATGAAGAATATACTCCTGCACCGTGAACAGTGTTTTTATGCTGCACTTGAACGCAGCATAAGATCAACTTAAAACATACAGAAATGATTAAAGGTTGGACAGTATCTTAGTTGTTTTGTACACAAATTAATATCAAAGTTACAAACTCTAAACTCTTTTATTTAATATGTATGAACAACATGATAACTTTTTTTCAGAAATGACTAACACAGTCCTCGTTGGGCTTTTCTCGTTTTTTGTGTTCAATTCAATTCAATTCAATTTTATTTGTATAGCGCATATTTACAACAACAGTCATCTCATAGCGCTTCAAGGTTCAAGGTCTTTGAATTTTGGATAATACATAGTATGTAGACAAACATTTTCCAATATTTTCTTTTTCCCATTTTCTTCCTCATCCCACCACAATAACACAAAAGCCGGATAGTTCAAGAACAAAGGTTTACAGATGTGCATCACAACATGGGTGCTCAAGCAAAATAAATAAACAAATAGACAGATACTGAAGTAAAAATGAAATTAAACCACATTTAAAATGTTATCTGCATTTACATTCTCCAAATAAGTCAAAAACGGTTGGCAGACATCATAGAGTTTTTGCATTGATGCCTTTGTAGAACAGCGAATCTGCTCTAATTGGATGTAGTGCGTGACCTCTTTGACCCAGCCTCCATGTGTGGGTGGCAGTGCTTCTTTCCACTTTTGTAAGATCTTCTTCTCGCTAGGACGGTACAGAAAGCTACCATATTAGCCTCTGGCTCATCTAAATTTACATTCCTTATAGTCACTCCAAACACTGCAGTAAATGGACATTGTTCTACTGTAGTATTACATATTTTTGATAGAATAATAAAGATGGATTCCCAGAAGGTGTTTAGCTTTGGACATGTCCAAAACATATGGATTAAAGTGTCTGGTTCCTGGGGCGCCGCTATAGCTCACCTGGTTGAGTTGGCGTCCCATGTACAGGGCTACAGTCCCCGATTTGGAGGTCATGAGTTTGAATCCTGCTCATGGCTCTTTCCCACATGTCCTCCCCCCATTCTTCTCTCACTGCTCTATCCAATAAAGGCTCAAAGGCCCAAAAACAAAAAAAAGTGTCTGGTTCTTGTTGGCATCGGTCACATGTAGGGTCAAGGTCAATTTTTATTTTGCTTAATTTTACTTTGGACCAGTGAAGGCGCTGCACAATTTTGAATTGAATCACAGAATGTCTGAAGCAAATAGATGATCTGTAATCTGAATAGATTATCTGTTGCCAAAGCTCGTCTGAGAGTTGTTCACCGACGTCTCCCTCCCATTTAATCTTTAGTGATTCCAGTGTTGTGCTTTTCTTTTCAATACTGATAGAGGTTACATGTTTATGCTACCTTCTGTTTGCCATTCATATTATTCTTGCAAACATTCATACATAATAGAAAATATTCAACACTGAGCTTTGGATCCTTGAACAGACAGAAAACATTTCAGGTGTGAGCAAATTGGGTGAAAAACATCTGCATCGCTCTCCAATCCATCTTTAAACTCCTACAACATTTTCTAAAATGCATACGGAGTCCTTTTTGTATTTTGTTTTATAAATGATGTGTGTATTTATGTCTTTCTCTGGCTACGAAAAACAACAGCTGCAGTCAGTCTCACAGTTCGAGTCACCTTGAGCTGTCCAGCAACAGTTCACACAAAGTTGGTTATTAACTGCCACTGTTTACCAAGAACTTTCCAGCTGAGCTACGGGTGCTGTCAGATTCACACGAAAGAGAGGGGAGTTCAAATTAAATTATATTCGAGTTGAATAGAACATTGTCAACATGATTTAACTCTATAATCTTGTCTGTGTCAGTTACTCAGTTCAGTGGTGGCTGAGTATGAAGCGTACCAGCCAGCACATCCCCTCACCATCCTGTAACATAACCACCCTCACAGTGTTTTAGTGCTGCTTCACAAAGCTGATTTTTTTAAAGACACGTTTCCTTCAACTTAGTTTCTGCAATGCTGACTGAAGGATAATTTACTTTCCTTCAAATTAAACTTGCCAACAAGACAAAATATCAGAGAGTTCAAATTCAAAATCAACTCTGGGATCTTTGAGGTCATGTTTACGGTAACTGTTAACATCCATCCATCATCTATACACTGCTTAATCCTCGCTAGGGTCGCCTATCCCAGCTGACTCAGGGTGAAGGCAGGTTCACCTGGACAGGTAACCAGTCTATCACAGGGCTACACTTAGAGACAGACAACCAAGCACACTCACATTCACACCTACGGACAATTTACAATCACCAATTAACCTCAACATGTTTTGGACTGGGCTGCAGGGTGGCGCAGTTGGTTAGCACCGTTGCAGCAAGAAGGTCGCCGGTTCGCGTCCCGGTGAGGACACCGGAATCTTTCTGCGTGGAGTCTCCATGTTCTCCCCGTGCAGCGTGGGTTCTCTCCGGGTTCTCCGGCTTCCTCCCACACAGTCCAAAAACATGCTGAGGTTAATTGGTGATTCTAAATTGTCCGTAGGTGTGAATGTGAGTGTGCTTGGTTGTCTGTCTCTAAGTGTAGCCCTGTGATGGACTGGCTACCTGTCCAAGGTGTCCCCTGCCTTCGCCCTAAGTCGGCTGGGATAGGCCGGGACCCTGGTAAGGATTAAGCGGTGTATAGATAATGGATGGATGGATGTTTTGGACTGTGGGAGGAAGCCGGAGAACCCGGAGAGAACCCACGCTACACGGGGAGAACATGGAGACTCCACACAGAAAGATCCAGGTGACCTCACATGAACCGGCAACCTTCTTGCTGCGAGGCAACGGTGCTACCCACCGCTCCACCTTGTAGCTTTAACTGTGAACATGTACTTAAAATTTGTGACAGAAAGCTGTCTACATTTTAAACCTCAGAGTTGTTAGATAACTCAAAACACACATCCGTCTTCCTCTCTGTCCATCCATCCATCTTCATCCACCAACAGGTCAAACACACTGAGCTTCAATTACACCTGAGGATTGTGTGTGTTCCTGATTCTGCGGCTATTTCTTTAATTTCTAGTCATTACTAGATCCATCCACTCACTTGTTGAATCGGGACCCGGCTCGTCTTTGGGTGCCCCACAGCTGCCTCTGGTAGATTCCCAGCAGAAGCGTCGAGGTGATGAACAGCAGCAGCAGGAGCAGCCTCTGCCTGGGGGCACAGCCCAGAGACAACAGGGACCAGCTGCAGTACCAGGAGGCTGGCAGGCAGGACAAAGTGATCCTGTGGAGAAGAACCGAAGGCTACATTAAGAACTGTGGAGAGTATAATCAGGCAAGATGTTGTAAAACTGCCAAACATCAGGGCTTGTCAGTAATACTGTCATAGAGGCTGTTATCAGTTTATTACCGTGCCATGTGTCCAAGTCGGCAAAAGTACAAGATGTCACAGTCGTCACCTCATGGTGGCTGCAGTCTGACTAGGATCCTCTCCACAGTTTTGACTTTGCCTCTGTCTGAAGGGAAGAAAAGACAGCTTAACGATGCTATACGCTTTGTGCATTGTAACACATAAACGATTTCCTTAAAAAATATAAAAGACCATTATAAGAAATTATTGTTTTTTTCCAGGTGGTTGTATCACGGAGGAGCACTTTCAGGTGTATTCTGTTTTCTCTTAATTGTCCCAAATGCTGCCACTCTAGAAGTGAAATCTCAGGTTTTCTTCCTTACAACCTAAACTAACAGTGAATTTCTCTTTCGATAATATTCTTCTCCGACACTGTCTGCTGTTCTCTTGCACTTTTCTCTCTGGATGACTGTAATAAGAGGTGCAGATACCTCAGAGTAACCTGTTGGTATTACTATTATTATGGTTTCTTTCTATTATCTTCCGTCATATCCCTGTAGACTGGGTACTGTACCCCACCTTGCGAGACTACACCTGTCAAATGTAAGGTTAATTCTATTTTAATACTAGCAAGCACAACATGGAAAGCGTTTCAATATTTTCAGACAACATATAGACCAGACAGTAAATAGATTACAAACATCAACAGGCAAATTAACCCATATTTAGATGAGTCATTACTTGAAACATCTATGTATATTCAGTAGAGGCCCGAGATTTATTTGTTTACATTCTGCTTTATTTTATTTTATTCCAGAAAAAACAAACAAACATTATCTGTTCAGTGATTTACGTGACGTGGCTTCTACTAGATCTACTGGTCTAGCCTGTCTGTCCACACAATAACACTGATAAGTAAGTAGAGTAAGACATTATACTATAGCTCTTCCTCCTGAATCTATACCTTTATGATATTTTTGAGCTTCCTCGTTGTGTTCGTGGGAAATCCCTCCACAGTAATGTCGCTGTATTAACTCTGCTTTCTTCTATCCAGGCCATTATAAAGAAGGTAACTGGCTTAACGCTTAGTTATATAAGCTAAAATGGTTGCACAAAAACAAGGCAGCTATCAGTCAGTCAAACCAAATGATAGGAAAAAAAACATGTTATATGTGTTATCCACGTTGGCTACCGGTAGCTAATATTGATAACAGCTCGGCTACAAACCGGCTAACAGTCGGTTCATGTTAACGCTAACGGAACAGATGCTATCACTCTGTCCTACTAACTTACCTACAGAAGACTGTCCTCCGCCATGACAGCGGAGCCCGCCGGTGGAATACGTCGTTTCTTCGACAGAAAAGCTGATAAAAACGCTTTGTTCTCTCCCACGGTACCTCACGGAGCGTATTTTAAAAGAAGACGACGAAGCAGAGAGGAGGAAATGACCGAACGATCCCACGGGTTTCCCGTCGGCCCCTTGGCTACGTGAACGTCTGCTGCCTTCAAGGACTGTGGGAAAAGTTACAACTGCGCACGAGAACCACCTGTTTAGAATACAAGACTGTGTTATTTTCCGAAGTAAAATGTTCTGATCCTCGTCTAGCGGCATTTCAATCCTTTATTATTATGTCATAGTATAATTCTGTTTATGTTTCCAACAGTTTTTAATGGAGGCCTTCGTATAACACAGTGTGCAGATTATACAAAGCACAACGTGAACGCCACATCCGCAGCAGCTCCGGATTTTTTTTTATTTTATTTTATTTTATTTTATTTTATGTTTTTTTCTATTGTTTTTTCTTGTGAGGGGATTGTATTTTTTCAGGCTTTAGCAGTAGATGCGGGTTTATGGTGTGGCCATCTGTAAATGCCTAGTTATTACAAAATGTACAGCAACATATATACACTACTTACAACATAATTTGACAGGTGAAATAAATAACGTTGAACATCCAGTTACAGTCTCATGTTGTGCTGCTAAACCTTGGGTCCTGATATTTATGTGGGCGCTACTTTGACATGTACCACCTTCCTGAACACACACCTCCGTGGTAGAAGTAGCCTCCCCACATGAGGTAATGTATCCTGTCTCAGTTCAAACACAGTTCAGAAACTACTTGAGGAACACAACTAAGGACGCTGCCTTGGCCCCACGCTGCAGCCCACAGGCCAACAAAGCCATACTTCAAAAGTTTATTAAAATCATAGTTCTGACATTAACTATGTGGACAGTAGCATATTTTGTTGTTCTTGAAGTGATACATGCATCAGCTAAAAAAAGCACCATCATATAAACTTAGCAAATATTAGATTGGAATTTCATAAAGAAACTCTTGGCACACTAAAAATCCTCTCTATGTAGCAACATAACAAAAGGTGTCTAAGCCATCACCTTAAGATTTTTAAATATTTGAATTGTTCATCTGTCTTGTCAGGAGACTTTAGAATCTGAATCAGAAATACTTTATTGATCCCCTATCGGGGAAACTGCTTTCAGTTACAGATGCTCCCAATCCAAAGTTTTAAAGAAGTAGAAAGTAATAAATTATAATAAAATATAAAGTATTAATATGAAAATAGAATAAAAATATAACACAAGGTAAATATCCATTCTGCTGCTGTAAGTGTATATGCCATGTAATAATAACAGTACTACCATTTGGATTATTGCACATAGAATGGTTATTGCACATTATGAAACTGTCCAAAGTTTATTCTGGAGGCGGGCCAGCAATGACAGAAATGTAATAAACTTACACTGATGTGTGGTGTGCTCCAGGAAAGGAAGCTGTGCATTCAACTATTTGATAAAACACGTGGGGGTGGTTACAAACTCATAAAATGAACAGTCACAGTTTTTAGCCATTACTATTTAAATTTTTCCACACTGTCGCTTCGCACTCAGGCGCAGATAATTAAGTTGGCATGTTAAGTTATAATTGTGACGCTTAATTCTACATTTCAATTCCCGAATAATGTGTTTTTGAAGTATTTTATAACCCACTGTAGCAGCTCCGGACGTCCCATCGTAAACTCTTCCCGTACATACATGTGACCTCCTGATGTTACAAAATCGTCTCCGCCCACTGAAGTTTAAACCCCGCCTACTTTACGCGCCCCGCCTCCTTTCAAGACTAAATTGACCAATTGCATCGGGCTCTCAATGATTGACATCTACCTTATCGAATCAGCTTCAACATCTAGCGGTGACTCACTGACAAACCAAAGTCCCACCCGTCCGGTCTCCCGGTTCCCGGACTCGCCACAGCTGCCTGCCTGCCGCGCAGTTGCAGCGACCCGCCAAGACTATCTCCCACCAGTCGGAGTGTTCATTAAGCTGCTGGGAAGACGACACCGACAGGCGGGTTGCCGGGGTCGTCTGGTCGAATACATCTGACTGAGCAAACTCTTGGTTTCAATGGAAGCGGACGGTTTCATGTCCCGGCGAACGTCCGTGGATACACCGGGCGTCGACAGCCGGGTCACAGGCGCTGCAGCCGGCGCAGAGTTCCGAATGCTGGGCGGGAGGCTATTGGACGCTACGGGGGGGTTTGTTGGGTCTTTTTCACCAAGAATGGCAGGGGAACACGACTTTGTCCCGATGCTGCATCGGGCAACGCCGGAGATCTCGACCTCTGTCGAGCCAGAAATAGACTATGAAGGACTGCCTCAAGGAGCAGCCACCAGCACACACATGCTGGCAGGAGCCGTGGCTGGAATCATGGAGCATTGCCTTATGTACCCCATCGACTGTGTCAAGGTATCAGAGCTATGAAGTGTAACACACAGTGTGATTTGAATGTGTTCGGGCCTTGTTTATGTCACATTCAGCGCTGCCACTGGTTGCATAAACCTGGAGCTAACGTAGGCCTGCGTACAAGCCTGGGCTCCATTACCGTTAGCTTACAAGCTAACAGAGGTAACCTTGCTATCAGAGGTCAGTTAACCGACTTGTCTAAACGCGAGACAGCGCAACGCGCGGTCGTCAGAATGAAAATCTAAAGGGAAATGTGTGTTTTTACCTCTGCTTAGCTTATTTTTCTCTGGGCTTCTGTTTGTGCAATAAACTGGACAGTAGCTGCATCTGTCACTGAGCTAGCGTCCATACAAGTTAGCCGCTTGTCTCAAGTAGCATCTGCCTTTTAGCTAACATGTTTCCATCATCGGACACGTGCATGCGGTTTTTATGTCTTTATTGTCCCTCCTGCTGAATTGTAAATCTTACGCATACTGTCATCAACATTGGCTTGAAAACAAACGTGCCACATTTTGTAAGACGACAGGACTTTTCCCACCAGCTTCCTGTTCAGTTGGTTGGAGCCATGAATCAGTCAAGTCCAGGTTCAGTAGATCCACTGTGATTGCTTGTTGGACCTTTTTAATCATTTGCAAACAAATAATTCTGGGGTGATATTGGTGAAATAGTAAACGGTGAAGATTTTTAGGATTACATTTGTGCTCAACAGTGGAAGCAGATGGTCAAAGTCAAACAACAGAGGAATCAGTAGGTTAAATAAACAAAGACGTGGTTTGTAGGTCCATTTGCATCGTGAGTTAGAAGTAGAGACCATCTCTGATCTTTCACTTTCAAGAAACTGTCAGAAGAGGTTACGTCTCAAAGTCCATTCGGAAGAGATAGAAGTAAAGTTGAATAACCGATATGTGTCATCAGTCACTGGGCCAGCAGTCAGCGATAAATGAACTAATGACACACAGCTTGGACTGGAAGCAGAGGTGTGGTAGGTGCACCCTTATCTGCCATTCAATCACCTTTGCTTGTGTAAATGACATAACTCCATAGTTATATAATTGTCAAAACACAGCAAGTCAAGGTAAAGGTTTGCTGTAGGTACAGTTTCGATTCACTATCCACGCTGTTAATATGATCTTTATCAAGAGTACTGCTGAACTTTTGCTTACTGTGTGACATAACCACAGTTTTGAAGAGAATTGTTGCACAATATGACAGCTGTGCATGCGTGGTG